AGTGGAGAAAGCAAGAAGAATGAGTTGAGTAAAGTTTGACTTATCTGACTGTTTTGTTTCGCTTAATGCGCCTTATAATCCGATACGCCTTATGTATAAAACAGACCCATTCATTGACAGCACGCCTTATAAGCCGGTGTGCCTTATGGTCAGAAAAATATGGTAAGTGAAATCAACTATATAATGAATACAATTTAACATACTGTTGCAATCTTCAGCATATCCACTGCAACATTAATTATCTAATATATTCTTTAATATTGAGCACAAGCAACAGCTTAATAAAGACATGAGAACAAGCAAAGTACAATACAAAAATATTTTTTTAGGCAATCTGGTGATATCATATGTTGATACTTGTATCAGACATATTAAGAAACACATATTTCCTAATGATTCTAACAGCCCCTCTTGCAGTAAAACAATAATTGCTATTTTGGACTTAATGCCTTACCATTGTCTTCTCTGTGGTTTTAGTTCCGATTACAGTTTGACAAGGTGTTTGCTAATACCTAAGTAGGTTTACTGTTTAAACTTGATTGACTAGCTTGATTCATAACGGCAATTAATTCCCTTAATCTTTCCATTATGTTCATATTTCAGTCTAAGAAAATGCATTATTCTGATGCAGGTGAATATAAAATAAGTGCAACATATTCACATGATAATTTTAATGACGATATTTAAAAAACAACAACAAAAAAAACAAGAACAACTTAGTAAAAGTGCCAGTCATAATGAATGACCTTTAATATATTACACCTTTTCACATACATCATGTTCTCAACAAATAAAGACAAAAAGTATTGTCTCTTAAGCAATAACTATCATATTTCAGTTTAATTTTATAATTTCCTTAGGGATTAATAAAGTATTCTGATTGTTTACTATCAATTGCAATTGTTTTTTTCATTTACATACTGAACAAGAAGAGAAGATTTTAATTCATAGCATACCTTTTTAAACATGCTTGAGTCCATACTGTACCGCTCTAATTTCAAACAACCTCTGAATACAGTTTGGCAGTAGATTACTCTGTGCTTTTCTTCATTTTCAGTGCAATATTTGAGCACAAACTTGAACAATTTCAGGGTGTGTTGTTTAATTACTGACTGACAGTTTGGTTCCTAATAATCTGATCCAGTT